GGGGGGGAGCTCGTGTGTGTGTATGTGTGTGTGTTTGATAGAGAAAGGCATAGAGAGAGACAGAGAGAGAGAAATATAATATTTGTGGTTAGTTAATTATTCGAATCTATTTTACGTGTGTACATTTGATTTAGATCTAGTTTGATTTATTAGAGCCAGCATCTTGCCAAGCTATTTTAGGAATTTGCAAAGCCCTCTATGCAGTTTGTTTCTTCATGCTCACTTGTTTCAGATTTCCCAGTTTTCCAAATTGATACCTAACATTTTAAGATCTCTTTTGATCAGCCTCTGTAATGTAATTTTTATGCTATTATCTGGGGGGTGGTAAAATATGGGGGTTCAGCTCAAACTTGGAGAAGTTATTTGTCACGTTAATCAATATGTAGAGGAGTTCTGAAAGAACTGCCTCGTCTGGTAGGGTCAGTCACGCACAGCAGGTGACACCAGATCGCCATCAAGATACTGCTCACAAAAGGAAAAATCAGACAAGAAACATAGCAACCTGGAATGTGAAAACAGTGCTAGAGAAAGGAAAACTGGACAACATCAAGTAAGAAATGAAGAGAATGAATGTTAACATCATGGGTTTATAGTTTATGTGAAGTAAGATGGACAGGAGTGGGCAGAATATAGTCCGACAGCTATAACATCATTTACTCAGGAGGCGACAAACATGAAAGAGGAGTAGCGGTCATCATGGACATGCCAACATCGAAGACACTTAAGTTAAGGGGTAGGCTACCTGACAATATCAGACAGAGTTATGCTGGTGAGACTGAAAGGATCACCCTTCGATACAACCATCACCCAAGCGTATGGGCCTACCTCAGAACGCACAGAAGAAAAAATAGAGAAATTTTATGATGAAATAAACCAAGCAAAGACACTGTGTAAATCACATGATAGTCATGGGAGATTTTAATGCAAAAGTGGGAGCAACAAGACATGGAGACATAGTATTAGTACGTCCATATGTACTGGGAACCAGAAATGGAAGAGGAGAAAAACTGATAGAATGCGCCATCCTGAATGACATGATTATTGGAAACACTTGGTATGAAGAACAACCAAGAAGATTATGGACCTGGAAGAGTCCTGGGGACAGCACTGGCAACCAGATCGACTATATCGTGATCAAGAAAAGATACAAAAACGGAATGCTAAATGTCAAAACGCGGCCAGGAGCAGACTGTTACAGTGACCATGTACCCGTCGTGGAAAAATTTAAAATCAGATTTTTAAAAAACACACACGAGCAAGAACAAGAATATGAAACTAAACATGGCATTACAACAGTCAAACAAAGAAATGCAAGATAAATTCAGAATAACTGTACAGAAGAAATTCGAGCCCTTAGAAGAAATGCAAGACATAGAAAAACAATGGGAACAGTTTAAAACTTCTATAAATGAGGCTGCATAAGACAGGAGCGGGCAGAATATAGTCCGACAGCTATAACATCATTTACTCAGGAGGCGACAAACATGAAAGAGGAGTAGCGGTCATCATGGACATGCCAACATCGAAGAATGGACAACCAGAAAGGACAACAAAAGCAAAGAAGAAATGGATGACTGAATAAATTCTTAATCTTATGGAGGAACGAAGAACAAACAAAAACAATTTTGAAAAATATGTGAATCTTCATAAAGAAATCAGACACAAATGTAATCTAGCAAAAGAGACCTGGTTAAAAGAAGAATGTGAGGAAATGGAAAATCATTCCAATGCGAACTCAAAAGATCTGCACAGAAAAATTAAAGAGGTGTGCCATACAAGAACACGTGGATCAACAGGATGCCTCAAATCAAAGGTTGGGAATATCATAATGGACAAAGATAAGATACTAGAACATTGGACGGAATATATCGGTGACCTGTACAATGACTGAAGAGACGAACAAAGAAGAGTGGAAACTAACAACGAGGGACCACCAATCATGAAAGAAGAAGTTATCAAAGCACTAAGAAAGATGAAGAACGGGAAAGATGCAGGACCGGACAACTTTACCTCAGAGATGATTAAAGCTTTAGAAGACTTTGGAATCACCACGCTGACAAAACTTCTGAACAACATGTATGCCACTGGACATATTCCATCAGATTTGTCAAAATCTATCTTCATAGCTTTACCAAAGAAACCTAATGCAAACGAATGGGAAACGCATCGTACCATCAGCCTCATGAGCCACATAACAAAAATATTACTCAGAATAATTATGATGAGAATACGAAATAAAATTCTCCCAGAAATAGCCCAAGAACAGTATGGATTTATTGAAGGCAAAGGCACTGTAAATGCCATATAATAATAATTATATATATATATATATATATATATATATATATATATATGTCATAAGAACAACAATAGAACGTGCCCTAGAAGTTCAGAAAGGTCTTCATTTATGTTTTATAGTAGACTACACCAAGGCATTCGATAAAGTTAGGCACGACAAGATCATCGACATGCTGGAAGTTCTCAATATCGACGGGAAAGACTTAAGGATTATCAAGAACATGTAGGCTACTGGGATCAAACTACTGCAATGAGAATAGAAAACGACATCAGCGAATACATACAGATTAAATGAGGAGTCAGACAAGGATGTGTACTTTCTCCAGACTTCTTCTCCCTGTATAGTGAAAATATCATGAGACACATAGAAGAAATGCCTGGTATCTCAATAGGGGGACATAATATAAACAATCTAAGAGATGCAGATGACACAGTCCTAATAGCAGAAGATAAAGAACACCTGCAGAATCTATTAAATGCCATCATACAAGAGAGTGACAACATCAAGAAAACCGAAACGATGGTGATAAGCAGAAAAACTCCAACCCCAACATGCAATATCAAAATCAATGATGCCACCCTCAAGCAAGTACAACATTTTAAATATTTGGGGACCATTATATCATCAGATGATAGATGTCACACCGAAATTAAAAGCCGCATTTGCCAAGCAAAAGCAACCTTCCACAAGATGAAACAGATACTAACAAACATCAATCTGTCTCTGGAAACGAGAAAAAGAGTACTGAAAAATTACATCGTCGAGCCAATCTTATTATACGGGTGCGAAGCGTGGACAATCAATAAACAGCTGGAAAGAACAATTGTACCGACAGAGTTGTGGTTCATAAGACGCATGCTACGTATCCCATGGACAGCTAGAAAAACAAATGAAGAAGTCCTGGTTGAAGCAAATTATAGAAGACAACTTATCACGAATATAAGAAAACGACAGGCAAATTTCTTCGGACACACAATGCGGAAAGAAGCATTAGAGAAGATTGTAACAACAGCCAAGTTTGATGGAAAGAGAGGCAGGGACAGACAGAGGGAAAAGATACTGGACAAGATGACAACATGGCTGGGAGTAGCAAGAACAACAGCTGCAGCGCAGGACAGGGTGAAGTGGAGGTCCATGATCTCCCACGCCAGTCGGCAAGGCACCGGATGATGATGATGAATCAATGTCTGCTTGAAGGTTTTATTGCATGATATCGGTAGCCTCTATTGGTTAGCTCAGTCTGATTGAGTGCCCTTGGGAAAGGCACTTGCCACGAAATTTTATTTGGCTTGGTGCTTTCAGATATAAAGGTTAAACTGATAGTGATGATAGGTGCACAGAACCTGCACCATTTTATATTTTTATTTGATTGTTCGTATTGTCACTCTGGGTTGGTGTTGACTGGCAAGGTCAAAACCTCTTTCTCCAGAACTGATTAAATTGCGTAGCTGGGGGTGTAAACCATCACAATTATTTTTACAGTAGAGGCTGGAAAGATTCTGGTCCAGCTTGTCTTAAAATAGATGCCTTCAGTGGCTGATCTCATTGGCTGATGTTATGGCCCCTTTCATCAACAATGACAGCCATCTTCATGAAATACGGTTCTCATCAAAATAATGAAATCAAACAAACGGACTTTTTTCAGACCATTGGGCAATTTTTACACATTAATGGGGGGGGGGGCTTAGTCTTTCAACACCTGTTATGTCTATTAAAAATACACTTCTTTCTGGAGTTTACCGAAAATTGTGGGTTGATCATATGCACACAATATGTAAATTTGCAATTTCGAAGGATTCTGAAGCTTTGGAAGTCACCAAATTTTGATGGCCTTTTTTGGCTAATTTTAGCTCTGATACCAGGCGACCCCCACGCCCTTCATTAGCAAATTTCTCTACATCTGTTCAAGATTCTACCATTTACACTATATGATCCGAGGTTTAAAGGTGGTTTTATTTCATTAGACCAGCATGATTGCTAAAAACAAAAAAAATCTAAGCTACCTGACACTGGCATTTAAAGCTGAAAAAAAAGAGTACCATTTAAGAGTACACAAATTGAAGAGATATTTTGCAATAACATTTACCTTTTTATAGAGGTTAAAGTATAGTTTTGGTATGATATGTGATGTCTGTAGGCCTTTTTGAGACAGCAGTGTTGTGTCCTTTGGAAGGGCACTTAACACGAATTTCCCATTTGGCCTGGTCATTTCGGAGATCATGAATGTTAAACTCGGGAGTTACTGCCTCTTAAATAATGTAGGAGTGTTGCAAGGGGAGTTAAACCATTACCATTTTACCATATTCAACATTTAAGACAGCAGAGATGAAGCCTGCTTTGGAGTATTATTGAAGCAGATTAGTCTGAAAACGTATTTACCCCATACTTTATTGTAACATTGAAAGAAGGTTAAAAAATACAATGAACTTTGTTTTAGATTGAGAACTAGCCCATGTTTGGGACAATATGGTAGGCCTATATAAAAGTATTTCCCCAGGACACGATGACATGCACATGATGACCAGTAAAATTGTTAAGATAACTTAACAAAAAACAAAACAAACAACAACATCAACACTGAAAAATTCCAGTGATCCTACAAACTAAAAGTTTTATAATAAGTATGAAATCGTTCATCAAATGAGAATCCATTTACCTGCTCTTAGTTTTTGTAACTGTGTAATTGGCATTACACAATTCTTGTCACAATGTCCCTTTGGACATATGTCAGCGGTTGACAACGAAATACATGTATCTGTTTCTTGGTTTCAAAATCTTGCGTTATTATTGATTTTTATGATGTTTCCACGTGCTTGTGCTGTGATCAAGAGTAGTCATTCATCTCTCATTGTGGCAGCTTTGAAAGAAGGTAAAAGCCGTAGGTTTCAAGGGCACTAAAATTAGAAATGTAGGAAAGAGCTTGACTTTCTGTTTGAGCTTGACTTCTTCAAGGGCACTAAAATTAGAAATGTAGGAAAGAGCTAGACTTTCTGTTTTCAGAGCTTTTTGAATTTTTGGGCTATCTTTGTTAGTTCAGAAGCAGCGACCATTTTTGTAAATCTATTTTCGCTCTGATTTGGCCAAATTTTTGCACTGCGTTTTGTGCCACCAAACTTCCAAATTTTGCTTCAAAACGTCATAAAATCGTTAATAATAGTAATAGTTGTATCCTAACCATTGAGGTATCATTTTGTTTGTTGTTTTATGTAGAATCAATATATAAAAGTCAAGTACATTAAGAGAAAAATTCTATTTACCGTTTAATTACGTCATAAACGTGACCTCGGTAGTCCGATGCCAAGTATCCAAATAAAGAAACGGGCACACTTTCCATTACAGTGGAATCCTGTTATAACGAGAGGGAGGGGACCGAAGCAAAATGTCCGTTATAGCAGGATTCTCGTTATAAGGGATCCAGTAATAAATTCAAGGGAAACTGTAAAGTAGGCCTAATCTATGAGTTTGGTGTTCTGTTTTTCCTTTTGCTATCTCCCCTGATGATGATTTTGTTTCAACATGACCTCTAGGTCTTACTTGATCAAAAATCGAATCAGGTTTGTTTCTCTAGCGCTAGATCTAGCGATGTGGACTGACAGCTCGGCATTGACGATCAGAAAGAAAGGGCTCTGGGCTAACTCGCCCGCTGTGTTCCCCCCCTCCCACCCCACCCCACCCTGTGGTGCATTCCGTCTGCTTGCGCACGTCACACATTCACTCCATCCATCACATTGCTGTGACCTCTCCATCCCCGCATCGGAGAAGTGAGAGGCTTGGCAGGCCTTGATCTAAACTGGCCTATCACGCGATGCGTTCTGCTTGTCTGCGCATTCCACACCCTCCCACTCAGTTGCTCCGGCCTTCATTGTTGACGCACATGGGCTCTCCTATTCTTTGTTTCGCAAGATC